AAAAAAATTAAAAATAAGAGCAAAAAAATAGTGATAATTTTGAAAATAACAAATAAAAGATAAAAATGAAGGGCCTCCTTCAGGGTATGTCTCTGTTGTCACAATAGACAAAGTGGGCAGCAGTGTGCAGATACAAGTCAATGAGTCTCAGCAAGCCAGTCACAGACCCGTGAGATTCAGGAAGATTTCTGTCTGCAAGTCCCAAGTTGAGCTCCCTGTCATCCTGCAGGGTTGAACTCTGCAAGGCTCTACTGCAGGTTCCAGCTGCCCTTCCCCTGAAGATAGTCCAGGTTCCAATGGGAGGCGATGACCCCTCCAACTTACCAAGTACAGTGGTCTGGTGTGTCTTTATTTTCTCTTCACTTTTCCAGTGGGCTTCAGTTTTCATCAAGGAGCCTGAGAGAGGCCTTCTATCTGTTGTTTACTTCTACAGCTCAGGACAATGGTCTTTATGCCCCGCTGGGCCTCTGTAGTGTGGAACCAGGTAACAGCACAGCCAGGAGGCCAGAGGTAGGGGGGAGGCCTGGGGGTGCGAGGGTTGCAGGCATCCACCTGGCTAAGCTGGTGGCTGGTGGGCGTGCCAAGTGGTCCTCACCATCTCACTGGTCACAGGTGGGTGTGGTGAGCTGCTGGTTTATTTTTCTTTTGGCAGAATTAAGATGCTCTGGTTTCAAGGAAATAGCATGCAACTTGTCAAATCCTCCTTTGTACTCTTCTTGAGAAATCTGTCTGCTTTGAAGACAACTCTGCCTGTGCTGACCTTATTCACAAAGGTACAGAGTGAAAAAATCAAATTACTAGTTAAAAATGAAAAGTATTGAAATTATTGGATAAAGATAGACAAAAGGGGCATCAGTCTGAAAGGAAAGGTAATGGAACACAGTTTCTTCAGACTTGCTCCTCAATTTCTCCATCAACAGAGTAGAAATAACTGTCACCTTCTCAGACACCTCCTGTCTCACAGTTTTCAGAAGATAATTTGTATATGTAATGGTCATCTGATCCTTACATTGAAAAATGTTATACATTATAATATAATGTTTAAAAGTATATCATTTTAAAATGTCAGTTCTTGTTATTTGTAGTTATTTGTGGTATATTATAGAACATAACCATCATAAACTCTGAATTGGCAACCACTGAATAATTCTATAAAAGCATCATTGCTCCCATGAAACATACAGGGTTCTCATGAGCCTCTGGTCATAGTATATTTTTGTCAACTAATCAGATACATAACGTTATTTTATGTGTGCTGCTGTTTAAAGGTGCCTTATTTAATGTATATTGTTGATTCATTAACCTTGTACTCACAGCCAGTGGCACTATTAACCATGCCTAAATAAAGTTTAACATGCATATTTCCTCCACAGGGCGTGTCACATCCTGCTTAGGCTTTGGAACACGAGACGGCATTTCAACACTATACTTGGTGGCTGCTTCTTAAAATCACCAACAAAAAATTCCAAAAGTGAAAAACATAGTGCTAGATCATGAAGGAGATGCTGGCTTATGTTTACAGTGTAAGAGCTGAAACAAGAAGGCAAAGCATAACCTTGTTGGACCTTAGTTTAGAATGAGTGTTTCTGTGGACTCATTTTTTATCACTCTGTGCGTGTGGTTCCTAAATGACCACAAAAATGCTTCAAATATTGATTTGAGGGTTACAAATAAGTTTTAACAAGTAGGAAAATTTACAGAAACAGAACTCATATATAATGATGATTCATTTTCCTTGTTTTCTCATCCATAACTCTACTTTTAAGCCACAAGGCTAGATTTAAGAAAAAAAAAAATTTTTTTTGGTACCGGGGATTGAACTCAGGACCTTGTGCTTGCGAGGCAGGGCTTTAAGAAAACTTTTAAGCTCTTTTGGCCCTGGAATTTATAATACAAATATTAGTGATTTCTTTTTGCTAGTTTACACCACTGTGTGTAATTTATGATAAAAAAGAAATAAACTCCAATAATTAACTGCAGTGTCTCTTTTTAACAGTTCGTTGATTGCATCCATTTTAGCAGTTTGAAAAACTTTGACAGTTATCGAATAACAAAGTTCAAGTAGTTTTTTTAAATGAGCTTCTTGTTTAGATATTTTATCTAAACTACTTTTCGTATCTATGAATGTATGATGCATTATTGGAAATTATGGAACCCAAAATATTTTATCACCTGAGAATCCATGATAGGAAATGCATATGAGAATTAACCCTAAGAATGAAATAACCTCATAAAGCTAGTTGTGCTCACTTGGCCTACTTTCTGCGCTATTTTTCAGTTTTCACACCAGCTGAGATAGTCAGAAACATTTATGAAAATAAAACAAACAAAACCCCAACCTTCCATTTGATTTAGTATATATACTGAACACATGAGGCACATAAGACATCCCTCCCACCCTCAAGAACTCACATTTCAGTGAAAGAAATACTTGAATATCAGGTCTCTATCAATTATAAGTATTAGAAGGAACTTTCCAGAGTGACTTAAACAAAAAAGGTTTCATGAGTTTTTCTTATTTCAGGAATAGCTTGATTCAGGAACCAATTACATCATCTTCTGGATTAAGTCCACCCTTACTCTGGCTTTTCTCGTGGATGACTGCAGTAATCTCAAGTCCCAGATCTCATACCTCAGACATGTACAGAAATCCCAGCAAAGTCTCATAGCTGTCCACTGGCTCTGATTAGTTTATCCCTGAGCTAACTGTAGACAAGAGGGATAGGATGTTCTGATTGCTTCAGCCTAGGTCAGGTGTTTGTTGCTCAGAGATGGAATTAGCCACATGCTGAAGATAATTTCTGTGGATCAAAATGAAGCTGCTGGGCCGGGGATTTAGCTCAGTGGTTCTGCCGCCTGCCTTACAAGCGCAAGGACCCGAGTTCGATCCCCGGTACCAAAAAAAAACGAACCTGTTTCAAGAAAGGGGAGTGGATGATGGACAGTCAACCCAACAAATGCCCATTACACTTCAGCCACAGAGTAACAAGTCCCATGGGAAATGCTAGAAAAAGATATTTGAGTGGTCCACACCATAGGATCTTACTCTGTTTTGGTTCCTTAGTTACTTTTCAAAGTGTGATGAACCTTTCCTAATAGAAATATATGCACATATTTGCATATATAATTTGTACAGACTTCCGTACACTAGTTAAAAAACAAAACAAAACACCTGGATCTAGAGTCTTCTTGTTTTAATATAAAAGCAAAAAAATGGTACATTTGCTTCTGCTATTCAGCATGTTCTTGTCTTCCTTTTACTTTTAAGATCCTATGTTTACTTTTTGATACTTTCTTAGAAAATGTCAGCATGGTTGTCTTAGTTTCACAAATAATTTAAAAATTGTCTTAGCATATCACAAATAAACATAATCTGTTTATTGCTAATGCTACCAGTAATAACAACTTGATGAGCCTACTTCTCTGTCACAGGAAATTAGGCCAAAAAGATGCAGAAAGATTTCAGCCCTTATTTCAAAACATGCAGTGAGTTAAGCTGGAGGAAGGGCTTCTCTTTTAGATACTAGTTCATCTCTTCCTGATATGTTAAAAACCAAGTTTTTAATATAGGAATCAGTAATGTTATTTTGAGCTCATGTAAGAGCTAGTCCCTTTTCTTAGACTTAAAGGCTGAGAATCCTTAAAATCTGCCATCAAATCACAGTATTCTCAACAGACCTTTTCAGTGTAAGAGTGGGATCAACAATGGGCACTAAAATTTCCTAGTTCTTTAAGTAGAAAATTAGTCCCGGATACCTTTTGCTGACACTTGTAATAAGAAAACAAGCAAAACACTACAAATTGATACAGTCGTCATCTGAAGTGAATGGAGCTTTTTTTTCCTCTGTCTTTTTAAAGGTGGGACCCTCACTATCTAACACTGTCCTAATGAGTTTATTCCTGTAGACTGATTAGGAAAAATAGTGGTAAAGGTCAATGCTTCCCAGTCAGAATAGAGTGTGTAAGTGGCTGCAACAGACTGGTAGTATCAGTCAGGCCAACTGTAAGAGACCATAAAGGTGCTCTGACTCAGAAAGGATGAAGCAGTAGATACCTAGATCAGTTACAATGCATCTGAATTTATTGTACTTACATAAATATGGGTAAAAATCAAAACAATACAACCAAAAAGTGTAGATTCCATCTGCCTTGAAATTCTAGCTACTTTCAAGATTCTATGATAATGTTTTACATTGGGAATAAAGAACTATAATTAATCTGATAGAAAATTGTCCTTTAAGTCAATCTGCTTCTTGTTTTATTTTTGTTAGGCCGGCCATACACCATTCTTTGGATTTAACAACCTTATTTTTTTCCTTCATGTAGGATCCATGTCCACTTTGTGATGAAGCTAAAGAACTACTCAAGCCTTACAAAAACAGGGTAATTAATATATGACATTGTGGCTTTTATGTATATGGAATGGATATAACGTGATATAAAGTATCTGCCTGGATCCTTTCTTTAGGAAAAGAGATTAAATGATTTTTCATTTGAATTTTCTTTCTATTCTTCAGAGAGTTTAGTGCTGATTTCCATAAAACTCATTACCCTTAAGTGTTTTTCTCTAACAGTACTGATTTTCCTACTCTGATCTTAATATGAGTTAAAGTTAACTAGCAGGTGCAGACACATGCTTTCTTTAAACTTTTGTCCCCATTCCTTTTATCTTATTTTGTAACTCCCATGGAATGTTTTCATGAAGCAAACCATCACACCTTTGCCATTTTTCCTGCCAAAACTGTTTCTGCTGCCTGTTTCTCAGGCAGCTTCCCAGCTGGAACCTGTCTATTTCACAGGTAACTGTGAAAAGCCCTGATGCTGAAAGTAGCAGGTGTAACAGAAAAGTAGCAAATGCCTCATGTAATGAAATCAGTCAGGTTTTGGAAATCAGGGGCAGTAGAACATTGTGGACCTAAAACAAACAAATGACAACAAGAACCTCTGAGCAGTACAGTCTGAGGATCAATTAATCAGTGCAGTTGTTGAATCACCCCATGGTCTCTAAAATATAGAGCTTTAGCCTGTCTGTTTCAGTTTATCTTACAGGAGGTGGATATCACCCTTCCCGAAAACTCTGCTTGGTATGAAAGGTATAAATTCGACATTCCTGTCTTTCATTTGAATGGCCGGTTTCTTATGATGCATCGAGTAAACATCTCAAAACTTGAAAAACAGCTCCTGAAACTTGAGCAGCAAGGTGCTGGATGTTGACTCATGCCTTCATGATTTTCCACCCTCTCTGTCCATAAAGCATCTTCCTGAGGTAATGACCATGGCCTCATACTCTTTTTGGCAGTTTCACGGAGCCTAAAGAAGATTCTCAACTTAGGGATACCATGTAAATGTTTCCATTCCTCTTCTGATTGATGGAAGTACCATGTGGGAACATTTATTTATAAGCCTTTTATAAAATTAGATTCTCTTTGCAGGGAGGAGGATAATGGAGGGAGGGAGAACCCCATTTGCTTTATTTATTTTTCCCTTTTGTGTTTATATGGAAGCACCTCTCATGAACTGGTCAGTGCTGTTCATAGGAAGAAGGCTCTCTGCATTCCTTCTGCTGCCCTGGAGGGCTTAGCTTTTTAATGAAAGAATAAATGCTCTTCCACTCTGTAGATAAAGTGAAATGTGAATCGTTAATAACTGGGCACAGTCAATAAAGGAATGTTTTAACGAATACATCTGCATGATGCCTATTTCAGTGGGATTTAATAATACCTGTTTAAAATTAGAGTTCATTTTTGTTGGGTTGAAGAGAATAATTATCCTCGCCAAAGGAGCTTCATTTCAGAAAGACAAAAGAAAGACTTAAACCCCCAAAATGTATACTAGAATCTCAACATGCTTTATACAGCCAGTGAATTCATTTGTAATATTGAGTATTGTCTTTGATAGTTATGCAGTTATCATCAATTAAGTTAATTCAACTTATTTATAAGACAGTAGTTTTATCAAGTTTTAGTAGCTAAGGGAAAATTCACTTCTAATCATAACTGAACAGATATGTCATCTAAACTAACAATATTCTTTACCATTCTATATAAAGTATTGAAAATGTAGTCTGTACCTTTATTTATATTGAGTTGGTTATATAAATGAATTCACTTAAAAATGAAACTGGCTTTTTCTTTTAAAAGCACATCATTGCAGTTGGATCTATTATGAAGCTCTTTTTTGAACTATTTGTATGAATTTGGACATTGTGAACCCTAGCTTTTAATTTGATCAGTATGATTTAGTCTTAGAAACTATAAAATGTTAGAGCTAGCTAACCTTAGATGTTTTCCTCATTTTACACATGAGAAGGAGTCTAAAAATCAAAGTATTAAGGACTTAGCCAAAGGCCACCCACCCATCCCATGGTAGACCAGGTCCTGTCCCCAGACCAGAGTTTTGAGTATTCCTGTACTCACTGCAGAGGCCCCCTCATATTATAAATATGGTATTCTTGACCATTATGGATCCAACATACATTTGCAAACCACTTAAGCACTCCAAAGCAACAATAGAGAAACAAATCTTACAATAGTAGTGTCTATAATTTACAAATTTCTGGAACATATCTTACTGAACATTATAAATATTCATTGAGCCCTGTAATAAGCAGAATTGTAGGATAAGCCCAGTGACCTCCAATGTATAATTCCTTCTCTTTTCATATGAGTAAAAATATTTCTGCTGTGATTATGCTACATTATATAGCAAAAGGGAGATTACAGTGGGTGGGCCTGATCTAATTGGGTGAGTCATTTAAAAGCACAAGAATTTGTCTGGTCTTTCTCAGAGAAGAAATTAGATATGCTCCAGCTAGCCTGGAAGCAAGCAAACATCCATGTTGTGAACTGACAAGAAACTGGGTGGCCTCTAGGCACTGAGTAGTTGTTGCACAACAGCCAGCAGGAAAATGGGGACCTCAGTCTTACAGCTTCAAGGAAATGAAGATAATCATTTAGCTTAGAAGAGCACCCTGAGCCCCAGATAAGAAATGTGTCTTCATCCCCTTTTCACCAGATCTGGCACTGTGAGACTTCTAACTCTTCTCGAAAGTCAAAATGACCATAAAAAGGTAAATGTTTTGATTCAGGACATGGAAGCAAGCACCGCAGTATACCTAAAGACATTCACAAAAGAGGACTTCCAGAAGTATTTAAGAAACTAGCGAGAATAATGGGATAAGTGTCTGAAATGACAGGGAGTATCTTGAAGGGGATGAATAGCAATGTCTTTTACTGTTACACATTTTTAAAATTTAAACATTCACCATATTTTTTAATCACACTTAGTAAACTTCTGATTCATAGAAACTGGAAGATTATAAATGTGTGGTAATTAGTTACTCAGTAGCAGAACCTAATTCAAGACCTTACAACAATGAAGCACAATACTAGGTGGTGGGAGTGCAAAAATGAATAAGGCACAGGTCATGACTTTGAGACACTCACTGTCTCTTGAGGAACAAGGGAAAGCAAATTGATAAAGCACAACATAGTGCAGTGAAGGTTTGAGCTGAGATGTGAGAAATGGTATAGCATCTTGATAGGGAAAGTAGCAAGAAAGCTTTGCATAAAATTAAATTTAAGCAAAGACTTGATGATTGAACAGCAGTAGTGGCAAGGAGTGGGGAGTAAGGAGAATATTCCAACCTGAGGGAAAAGCATGTGTGAACTGTGAGGGTGTGGAGGGTATAGCACAGCCAAGAAAGACTGGCAACTACTGGCAAGATGGGCTGGACTCCACATTGTAAATTAGGCCTCTGTTAATGTGCCTTTTCCCAGCAGCAGTGGCCTCCCTTCGCACCTTCATCCAGAGTCAGTCTTCCCAGCTCTGGATTCCTCAGGGGTCCCTACATGTTGTAATCCTTCTGTTTTTCCTTTAGTCCTGAGCCCAGCAGTCCCTTCACATAGTCCTGCAGGACATTCACCCTGCAGTATTATGGAGTGCCTTGGACAAGGTCCTCATTCATGTGTGTCTTTGTTACTTTTTCTCATTGCTAAGACAAAATACCTAACACCAAAAATTAAAGGAGGAAAGGCTTATTGTAGCTCACACTTTGTAGAGGTTTCAGCTCATAGTTGGCTGGCTGCAAGACAGGGTAGCATGGCAGGGGGGCATCACAGGGAAAAATAATTCATGATGGGCAGAAGGCAGTGAAACAGCAAAATAGTGAAGAAGCAGCAAAATAATGAAGAAGCAGCAAGCAAGGACAGCAGACCTCTTTCTGACCCTTATTTCTATCCAGGCTACATGCCCTTAGGGTAGGGAGCCCTAAGAACTATGCCAAAATAATCAGTGGGGTAATTTAGTAATCACACACACTTAATTTCATAATCACACACTTAGTCCTAGGATCACACACTAGATCCAGCCACCTCTGAAAAGCCCTACCTATGACCACATGAGGCTTTGAGGACACATCAACCCACAAGTCATAACAATGTCTGGGTGTTCTAGAGTGAATGGAAAAGTTCTAAGAGTCTGTCTTGTCTGCTCAGGAAGAGGGAGAGAGTCCATTCCAAGGAGCTGGGCTGATCAGAAAGTCTGGAGGTTTGTTCTTCTAGGGCACTAGTTCCCTTAGTGTAACCATGTGGTTATGGTGGTGTCTCGAAAGTACAGAGATGAAATAGTACTTCATCCAGACAATAAAGTTCTGACATACAAATTGTCTTCAAACAAAAATTTCTTGATAATACTTAAAAGATGTTCAAACTAAACTATTGGCTAAGGCCCTAAAAAAGAATTGATGCTACATTCCAAAAAATACCAATCAAAATATAATGGATAATGTGAAATAGGAAGAAAAGGTGCAAAGGGGAGGGGGAAGTGGGAGGGGTAGGAGAAAAGAAAGAAGGGAATGGAATTAATATGAGAAAATGAAAAAATGGGAAAAAAGTCTTTGCAGATAGGGAGGGATGGAGGGTTTGAAGGGAAGGGAGGGGAAAGGGGAAAAATAAGAACCAAGATGGATTATGTGAAGGTGCAAATTTCCAATGATGAATGTCATTATATTGTATACCTTAAATGTACCAATAAGATTAATTTTTTTAAAAAGGAAGCAAAAAATAACAGTCACCTCAAGGAGTGTTGGCAATTGGGAGAGGCTATTGAGACCATTTTTAACTTTTTTTAAAAAGAAAGGTGTGCTCTCACTTAGTTCCCACCAAACTGAAAGGTTGGGAGACACCTGATATCAAGAAAGAGGGATAAGGGGTCGGGGATTTAGCTCAGTGTCACCGTGCCTGCCTTGCAAGTGCAAGGTCCTGAGTTCGATCCCCGGTACAAAAAAAAAAGAAGGATAAGTGTGAGACTCATTAGAATCTATAATATGTTCCTAGGTAGGAAGACCACAGTGCTCTAACTTTGTCCTGGGCAGTCATCTGAGAGATGAGCTAACAAGTACCTTCACTGCACTGAAGGCAGTTATCATTGCTCATACTTTGTCCAGGGGAAGAATGCGTGTGTAGTTTCCTTAGTACAGATGTGGGCCAGGAGTGAGAGGGCATGTGTGAGGCACTATGGATATAAGCAGGCCTCAGGAAAGAGGAGCACTGGGTTCCCTACACCAAGAAGACCGCTCCTTTGGAGAGCATATTGGCCCAAAGGGAATAGAAGGTAAGACATCGTTAACAATGGCTATAGTCTCCCAAGGACCCACAACAGCCTCTGCAAAATGTGGTTTGCTTTGAACACTAGAAAAAGCTTCAAGACAGCTTACTGCTCTAGTATTCAAATGAGGACACTCCCACCCTTCCCCATCTCTTCTATCTTCTCTCATCCCCACCCTGTGGGCAGGAGTTTGTTTTTGGAAAAGGGTTTTTATTTTTTTTTTGGTATCAGGGATTGAACTTGGGTCCTTGCGCTTTTGAGGCAGGCGGCAGAACCACTGAGCTAAAACCCTAGCCCTCATCCCCACCCTAGAGGGCTCAGAAGCTGCCAGGCACAAGGAGAAAAGACCTTTTCCCTCAGCTTTGCAGCCGCACACAGCTTCTCAGTGAGGGAACAATTATACTTGATTCTAACTAAACTAAGTCCTAAGTTTTGATTATGACATAATATTAGATTTACTAATTACAATTAAAGTGCCTGAGATCTTCACTTACCTGAGAATGCTGAAAAGGGTATTGAAACTATTTGGGCCTTTTTTTAAATTCTAAATAGAAATTTCTCCACTCAATAATTTTATAGAGGTAGAGACCTAAATAATGGTGCTTTCTGAAGATATCTCATAGTCCAAATATTGATTACATATGCCTAGTGTTATTTGATTGTGTGACTAAGAATCCTAGAAAACTTCACATATCCCTTTGGTCCCAAAAACTGGCAAAGTCATTGGCTGTTATCTAGAAACATGACATCTAAAAGGTAGTTCAATTATCTCACCATTGACAAGTATCAGGCAATGTTATGGTGGTTATTACAGTCATTTTTATGTGATGTTTGTAGTAGCAGTGACGTTTCCTTTCTGAAATTATGTTTGCAAAGATAAATTTGTGCTTATATAAAGATTAAGTTTGACACCAGAAGATTACCATCCAGCCCCAAAAGAAACTGATACAAGCTTTTTCTCCCTTCCCTATAAACTCATGCTTCAAGGACTGGAATAAACATTGAGTCCAGGCACTTCATATTGCTGCTCTTAGAGTAGTCACACTGCATCTTTCATCCAGATGTTTCATCATAAC